ACCTTTCAGGATGCTCAAGTGACCCAGGGAATAGTCACATTACAGAGCCAGTGGTTAATAATTAGTCTGTCTTTCCAAGACAGCCCAGGGAACTGTAACTTCATAAGATGAAGGCAAGGAGGCTTCTTAACAGCATTCTCACCAAAACAACACTTCCCGTGATTCTTTCAGGAGTGGAAGGAAGCATAATAGCTTCAAGTGGTAGGAACCCAATACTGTACAACTTTATAGCGTGAGAAGATCTTCATGCTAATCCATATGAAGGTTATTTCAAATCTGCACTAGAGAAGACCACATTCTGTACCTTCTACCAAAGGAAATGAATGAAACAAGTTTACCTAGAATTGCTCACTCTTTAATTTAAAAAAACTTGCATTCCCTTCCTGCACAGAGGGAACGGGAAGGTGGTGGTGGTGGAACCACAAAAACACAGCAACAATTTTGCAGCCTGGACTTTGAAGCACAGGCAAGAAGCCCCTTGCTCCACTGACTGAACAGTGGACTGATTCCCTCCCCCTCCTCTTCCACCATCACCACCCTGGGGGGAAGGCAGTGTGGGGTACCTACGGCCTGGGTGGAGAGCATCTCATTGATGCTGTGGTCATACTGCTCAGCTAAGATGGCCAGCTTGCGGGTCTGCTCATCCTTCAGGCGCTTGAGAATCCCCTTGTGTTCGCTCTTCGGGGTGGTCTCCAAGAGATGGTTGCGAAGGGCCTTGTATTGCCGCGTCTGGATCTTGCAGGTGTCCTGGAACTGCTTTTTAATTTGCAGCTCCTTGGACTGAGGAGGAGTAAAAGGGGGAGGAGGGTGAAGTAGCAAGCAAAGAAGAAATAAAGCAAACACAGGACAACCCAAGTGATTGGAAAAGGGCAGGGGGAAGACAGTGACCAGAGTACAAAAGAGAGACAAGAAGGGAAGGGAAGAAGGAAAAAGGGAGAGGAGAGATAAAGAGAGACAGGAGCATGTGTTAGACTAACAATGCCCACCAGTAGGGATTGGTGGGGCCATTCATTCAACCATTTCACCATACCCTCTTAAATCCAAACCACTGAAATGCAGTATGTTTCCTGCAATGGAGAAGTATTCTCACAACACTTACAAGATGGTTCTTTCTGTTCCAGTAAAGGGCAAGGATGCCATTCATGGGCAGATAAACCAGTTGTCCTACAGGTCACAGGTTCAGTTCCTGATGCCTCCACAGAAGGCAAAGGTGGAGGTCTGGTATGATCTCCCAAATATTTTGGCCAATAATTCTTGTTAGTCCCAACTAGCATGTCTATCAGTACAGGATTGTATGAGTTGTACTGCACAACATCTGGAGAGCCATTAAGTTTCCCAATCCACAAGATCTCATGCACCAGGGCTGGGAAGAGACCTTGCCCTAGACAAGACCCTGGAGAACGACTGCCAGTTGGGCATAAACAGAATGGACAATGGGTTGATTTAATATAAGGCACCTTCATATTCCCCAGCATGAAAGAGGAGTATGACATGAATGTTATAAACAAGAGCAACGACAATGCTGCCCTAGCATCAACCACATTTTAATAAGGTTTAATAAGGTTAAATAGTATGACCAGATAGGCGGGATAGAAATAAAATAAATAAATAAATAAATAATGGCTGAAGGTCAAGCAAAAGACCAAAGGGGTGTCTGGCCAACCCGTACCATATTTTTCGCTCCATAAGACGCACCTTTCCATAAGACGCGCCAATTTTTAGGAGAAGAAAACAGGAAAATATAATCTGTTTTCTTCGCTCCATAAGACGCACAGACTTTCCACCCCCCTGTTTTGTGGGGGAAAAGTGCGTCTTATGGTGCGAAAAATACGGTAAATATGAACAAAGAAACCTTTATAAGCCTCCTTTTAGCATAAGTCAAAATGGTCAAAATGGCTTTTGAGCCCCCATGTTTCCTTTGACCCCAGTGTGAACAACAGCAAATCTATGTACTTTATATACAGTACTGGCTTCCACCTAGGAGTCAAATACGGAAATGCTTAAGAGGAAGACTTTGAAGCTGAGCCTTTGCTGATGTTTCTTTAGGGGATTATTACAACAGCCTTTGTACCTAGACCTTGGCCAAAGTGTAGGTGTCCTCCCAGACCTAACTAACCCCTGAACAGCCAACAAATTATTCCCAACAGAACTTGGGAGAAATTGGTTGGGGCTTTTGGAAGTCACAGTGAAAAATGTTTCCAAAAACTGCTTCTGAAAAACATTGATGCACTGTATACAACATGAATCAAGATACTAAGCCAGAGGTGTAAATGTTTAATTGAAAGAATAATATGTAAATTGAACCTGTACTAAAAACATGTCATCATCTTCACACTCCTTTTCTTGCCTTCACCATCTGAAACCAGGACTTTCAACCCTACCGTATTCTTTACCGATGTCCTTCATCAGAGACGCTTCTGAATGTCTTCCCAATACTAGACATTTATATCTAGCTCAGTTGCGGAGGGCTCACAATCCACTCGCCCCTCCTGAAAGGTTAGTGTACACTGTTTTCTCCTGGCTTAAAGGGCATTAAAGTTCATAAGAAGCACAGCAGGAAGAGGGGGAATGAGGGGCAGAGAATTGGTTGTCAAGGATTATTAAGAATGCCAGTTCTACACCAAAACCAAGGTGTTCATCTATTTCTGTGCTAACTCCTGCAAAGCCTAGGGGAATTGCTGCCTCCTTAGTCAAAGACTCCTTTAGCTAACATGAACCACTGAACATTTTGACTAGGGGAATCTGGGGGCAGCAGTCCAGAAGCTATTCCTAAACTGTGGTCTCCTGGTTCATCTGAGAGTTGGTCTAAAAAAGTATGATCTGCCAAAAAGAGTTAACACGGAAGGAGCAAATAATGCCTCACATTTTAAACCAGAATAGGCAGAACTGAGCAGCAGATGGCCAGAGATCCTTGATCCTTTGGTTCCATCACTGGCCTGGCAGAAGCAGAGCTTGGACATAAAGACTGGCAAGTAACTGTTTTGTGTATCTAGTTACTTTTTGTGGTGATGAGTGTATAGCCAAGTTACATTTCAAAAGGAATGAAACGAGTAGGGATGAAGCCACTTATATTGGTGTAATGAGTAATTTTTCCAAAGTTACTTTTAAAGGACATTTTAAGGCATTTTGACAGGCATTTTTCAATATTATTTGCTATTCTCATATCTTAAGGATTTTCTCCCACCTCCAAACGTAATGGAAAGCAAAGCCTGGGAAAGACCCTTTTTTGGACTACAGCTCCAAGATTACAGTTGTACTCCAAAAAAGGGGAACTTTTCCATGCCCTGATTGAATATAATGGAAAAGTAGGAGAAAAGTTAATTTTTCAACTATGGAATGAGTAACAACAGGCTACTCTCCAAATAATAAAAAGAATAATCAGAAAAGTAAATTGACATGGTATCTGATAGAAGATGCAGTAGGAATCCATTTGCCTGGGGGCTACTAAAAACCTTGAGGGGACTCATTTATTTTGATACTATAGGTGGCATCTTTGCTTGTTAGCCGTGTGTGCGGCTGTTCTGTGGATCTCAGCTATGCATAAATAAAGGACTGCTGCATTTTGGTGCCAGGGGCAGAGAATACAAATGTCACATCTTTTTCTCACTTGTCCATGCAGGAAATGATCCACAACTCCAGAGTACTACTCAGAGAAAGGAGCAAGAAGCTCCCAAAATTTGTTTTCAATATGGCTTGCATGTAGTCTCTTCTTGTTAGTTGTGCCCTCCAAATGAAAGCCATCTCCTGCTCAAATGGTGTCAATCAAATCATCATCAAGTTAGAACCGACTTATAATGCCCAAACAATGGTTTCAAGACAATTAAGATACTTTAGGAATGGTTTTACTAACTCCAGTCTCCCACTCCTGTGAGTTTCCACGGCCCAGCACGGATTTGAATCTAGGTTTCTTGAACCCAGTCTGTCACTCTATCCACTACACCACATGGGGTATCCAAAATAATTGAATGCTGTCAAATCAAATCTGACTTATGGCCACCCTTTCCAGGGTTTTTCTAGGAAGAATACTCAGACGTTATTCTTCTGGGACTATGCAGTTTGCCATAGGCTGGCCTTATTCCCAGGAGGCACCATAGGGCAGTGGTCCCCAACCTTGGGCCTCCAGGTGTTCTTGGACTACAACTCCCAGAAGTCTTCACCACCACCTCTTCTGGCCAGGATTTCTGGGAGTTGAAGTCCAAGAACATCTGGAGGCCCAAGGTTGGAGACCACTGCCGTAGGGAATCAGACTCCCAACCTCTGGCTTGTACAGCCAGATATTTAACTCGTCTCAGCTATCCAGCCAACCCTCAGATGAGTTTAATGGTACACAAAATCTATTTTCCTGAGGCAACTGACTGAACAAGGTGATTCTTTTCATGATTTCAACATTCTGACCCTGCCTCAGGAACTAAATATGAAATCTAGTTACAGCCTCTCCAGCAATTAAGTACTTCTTCCTCCCCCATGGTTTAATTAATTTTTATGTACACTCCCATCACCTTGAATGCAGATAGTTATAAGCGCGTGGCACAGCTAATGCGAAACTAAGGTAAATGTATATTGTTGTGGGTTTTTCGGGCTCTTTGGCTGTGTTCTGAAGGTTGTTCTTCCTGACGTTTCGCCAGTCTCTGTGGCCGGCATTTTCAGAGGACTGGAGTAGGAACTCTGTCCATGCTCTTTTGCTGTTTGTTGGATAGTTGAGTATTTATGACCTTCAGAACATGGCCAAAGAGCCTGAAAAACCCACAACAACCATCAGATCCCGGCCGTGAAAGCCTTCGAGAATTTTCTCCAATTTAGGTGTTGAAAAAAATGTTCTACTTTTTATGAACCTAGGATACATGATTTGAGGAAAGGATGCAAAGCAACTATTTGAGGTGACAGAGGGTTTGAAAACAGACTCATAGCCCAGCTCCTAAGCTTGAAGTGCCTTTTTTATTATTAAAAATGTGAGAAAGGAATCAAATGAAACTCAAAACGCACAATACAGAGATGGTGCATTGTGGTGCAGATTTTTTTTATTAATTTTTCTTCAAAATTTCACATGCATCCACAACAGGGTAGGATGAAATAAATAAACCACAGATGAACATCTCCCAACACAAAATGGGAGAAATAAATTAAAAATATTTAACAGAGAAATTAAAAAAATGCAAGGACAATAGGGGAAAACACACACACAAATGGGAAGAAATACAAGTACACTATTAAAATGGACAAAATTGAATTTGGAGAATAAAAATAAGTTTGGCCATTTTAAAAACTGAGGAATGAAATAAGAAATTTAAAAAATCCATGACTAAAACAAAAGTAGAATAAATAAGACCACAGGTGAACCAAAAAAGGGAGAAATACAAGGCAAAGCTTAATTAATGCACAAATGGAACAGAAAACCAAAATGGATGGATGTGGAATTAAAACTATAACATTAGAGGATAACCTCAAACTACTAAAAACGATCACTGTTCCAATATGAACATTTAAAATTACCAATTAGTAAGAATAATAAACTATCAGAACCGCCCCCCCCAATGATTTAGCTGTATAAAAACATGGTTTAAAAACCATCACATAATAAAGAATCAGTAAAATGGAATGGGGAAAATCATAGCAATACTGTACTATACCTAGGAACCTGAGCAAATTTACTTGAAGTAAACATCACTGAAGTAAATGGGATTTACTTTCAAAGTACAGTAGGGAGGTTCAGGATCACTATATTTGTCGTCAAGGAAAAATGCTGACAGACAAGGCTGTGTTAAAAGTATTGTTCAATTTTTTGGGCTTATCTGCAAGTGTATTCATCACAAAGACAACTTTCGTTCCTGCAAACCTCTTGAAAACAAACTTTAGCAGCAGCAAAGCCACTCATGACCTATGTCAAAATTATACAATGCAGGTTTGTCCAAACCTCATGCTCTCCAGATCCACTAGGATTGGGGAAGCTGCTATAACGTTTTGATGCTTACCTGCTAAGCGTTAAAATGGACTTAGCAATAGAGTGAATCTCATTTTAGTCCAACAGAATAGATCGATTTTAAGCAATTAGACTTTCATTGGCATTGACTGACATACACCATTCATTGAAATGGTTCTACTCTAGTTTGGAATAAAACTGGATTAAATCCAATGATTTTTGATGGCAGAATTATTGCCAGGGTAGACATAAATTGCCTGGCGCTTTCCTGTAATAGCTTTTTCAGGACAATCTGCAGGTCATGGTAGCCAAGTAGCCATGTGCTAAAACATCTTATTCAGAAAAGTTCAATGGAATGGCTCTCTTGAGTGAGTTTGCCTAGTGACAGGTGTGTGGAATACAGGTGAGAGTCAAAAGAGACAAGGCACTCAGTTTTGGGGATAGGAAAGGTGGTGGCATTGAGTCCTGGAAGGGGGAGGAAATCAGGATAGCCGAATTCTTGAAACTTTGTTGCATTGCACAGAATGGAAGTGATCTCTATTTCCACTTATGCAGAATTGAAGGTGGTTAAATTGTGGAAAGTTGTGGACCCTCCCACAACTTTCCCAACATGGTGGGCGGGGGGAGGCATTCAAAGTCAAGTCAATTTTATTTTCTATGTAATTTTAAAAGCTTGCATGTGCCCACACTTAACATAGACATGAACCCATAAAATATATTTCAAGCTTTAGATGGGAACCTTAACATGCAGTTGCCTATTTGAAAGCAAACTGGTTAAATACCTAGCCGTTATTTTAAATTCCCAGCACGTGGTTCCTCATTTTAAGTCCCATTGGAAACAGAAAAAGGAAATTTTGGGGCGGGGGGAAGCTCCACTAGTGGTTGGCCCATTGTGTGTGTCCAGGTGGGGAAAAAAATCCTGTATTAAGGTTTATTAAAAGTGGATTTCTCCCATTTTCAGTCAAATGCTTTCAACGAAAACACTCAAAATTAGCTCTCCCCGCCCTCTCCACAAAAATGGTTTCATGTAAAATTGGCCAGCCTCCACAAACATACACAAATATTATACATTCAAGCCAAAACAAAAAAATGAAATGAAAGGGATGTTACAAATAGCGTGGAAAATGATAAATATATATATTTATAAAACGGTGGGAAAATATATATATATATAAAATGAACGGCGAAAGAATCACCTAAAGTTAGTAAACCCTCAGGAGCTGGGTAGAGTCTGATTTCTTGGAACACAAACACCCCTTAGTTTCTTAAGCTTCTGCATCATTCTGGAAGAGGCAACATGTTTTGTAGGAAAGAGGGAGAAAGAATAATTGTACTGAAGTGGAAACTCTTCAGGAAATAATAGTGAACGGACCCACATCTATATTAATGTGTCCTATCCCCACTCCATCTACAGAGAGAGAGTGTGAGTGTGTGCGCGCGTGTGTGTATGCGTGCTGGCAATATTGGCAGAAACTTGAGACCATCTGTATTTCCTTCTTGTTTAAGACAGAAAGAGCAGCTGTTGAAGAGCTTTTAAAAAGGGAGTTACTGAAAACTGCTTGTGAGAGTGTAGCCTTCTGCAAACCTGCAGCTATTAAAGAACTCCTTTCATTGGGATATGTAGATCCAGGCCCTGTCAGCTTCAACTCTACAAACATGTTGGTACCCATTTACCTCTCGCTTCAGGATTAAGGGGAATGGAGCCCTTCAGCTTCACTCACCATCCAGGAACTTTCCCATCTTCCCCTCCGTCGGTCTGGAGGGGCACAAGAAATACTCAAACCCACCCAAACCAGCCAGCTCAAAAGGGCGTCAGGTGATTCTTTCCTCGTTAGGATAATGAATACACAACAACGCCCCTCTCCAATATGTAAACAAAAAGGGAGCTGGCAAAAAACCTCAGGTCTCTCCCCCCCCCGCCCACCCTTGTGACCCCTTTCCTCAAGCAGACCCTGCCTCCGGTGGGGGCTCAGGCCCTCCTAGCATTAAAACATCATCAAACCATCTTCCTACTGTGCTGGTCTCAACCAACTCAGTATCACACAAACACAGGATAGAAAGAAGTCGCCTCCAGAGTCAATACTGTCAGTAGTGCTGCCCCACCTCCCAGAAATCCAGAGAGTGGCCAACCCCAACCCCCAAATTCTGCATGGGAGGCAGAGGACCAGTATGTCAAGAGTGCCTGTGGAACCATCCGCTTCGCAATTTGGGAACAGGGAGCGTGGGAAGCCCGAGGCCCCAAGAGCCCCTTCCGAGCACCCGGGGGGGGCGCCAATCATCTCCAGGGCTTCCTGACTGGGTGGGTGGTCTGCCTGCGGCTTCTTAGGCTGAGCCGCCTGGCTGAGCCCGCGGCATGGCCTCGTGGCCGGGCGGTTCGCTCCACCAGGCGGGGGATGCGGCTGGCCCTCTCCTCCCGCAAGACGTGCAGCCCTTTGAGACAGCGCAGAGCCGAAGGGGGCAGCTGGGCACAAATCACCTCCGTGAGGAACTTGTTGAGGCTGCACACTGGCTTGGCCAGGAAGGCGGCCGCCTTGCGGTGCCAGGGGACGGGCGGCTGGCGTTGGCGCGACAGCACCGGGATGCGGCTACGGAAGCCGCCTTTGTTGGTCTTAGGGAAGAGGCGGAACAGCCCCTGCTCGCTCACCAGGCCCAGGCGCTGCAGGATGCGGAACGCCGGGCGTGGAAGGCGGAGGAGGGCCAAGAGCCAAAAACGGCGGGCCCGGCGGGGAAGCCCCATGAGGCTGTTCCTTGCCATTGCTCCCAAAAGATAAAGGGGCAGGAAAAGCCACGGGGAAGCTAAAAGATAGGAGGCCAGGAGAATGACCGGAACGTAGAGGCGGCCCCGACTGGCGCTCAGCCCCACCACACCCACCGCCCCGGCCATTTTAGCCAGAAGTAGAAAGGAGGCACCAGAGAGGAGGAAGATAGAGTGCAACAAGGTGTAGGTCACTCCCAGGCCTACGAGCACCCCCTCCAGGGCCAGGAGGATATCCTGAAACCCTCCTCCTTGGGCCCAAAGGGCAGCGAGCAGCAGCAGAAGAGTTGGGGCACAGGGACAGGCCGACACTAACAATGCCAAAGCCACACAGAGAGCGTGAGGCAAAATGGCTGCCACAGGAGAAGGAACAGGGCGGATTTTGGTGCCGCCCTGCTGACTATAGGGGTCTTCGGGAGCTGGACAGCCATCACCTGGGCCTCGCAGACCTTCTTCCTCTATGGTAGAAGGCAAGGACTGGGGGTATAACTTATCTTCACATTTGAATGGCTCTAGTTTATCAGCCTCTTGCCCATCAGGTTCTGGAACACACATGTTCCTACAACCGTCTCTGTAGTGATCCAGCCCTCCAAGGAACCTTTGGCTCAATTCTAGATCTTCAACTCCCTCTCCATAAAGCTCTTGCTGCTTCAGACTTGTTCCACTGAAATCTAGCCCTTCGTTACTATGTTCACTGAGAACAAGACACCCCTGCCTCTGTTCTAGAAGTGCAGCTTCCTGTCCATCTGGAGTGACACCTGACAGGCATTTCCAGTCTGGCTCTACATCCCTTGAACACCTCGATTCAGACACCAGAGGCACCGAGTCCTGCTCACCCAGATCCGGAATGCCTTTTTGTGTCCAATCTGGCACAAGCACCCTAGGAGACATTGCTTCCATATCTAGATCCTCCTCCTGCTGGCAGTAATCTAGAACCAGATGCCCATGACGGTCTAGCTCAGGATCCATATTCCCCACTGCATGGCTGTACTTCTCTAAAAGGTCTGGACATTTTATTCCTGAGTCCACAATGTGAACATTACCCTGAGTTGCCTCCAGAACCTCACGGATATGTTTGCAAGGACCTGGATCACTGGAGCAAGGACTGCCTGACTCCATTACGGCTGATTCACATCCTCCAGGGTCAAGGTGCCCAACACGAGCATGTTCCAAGCGTGCATCTACCAGGTGCTCTGGAACCCCAGCCACACAGTCACATGGAGCAGGCCCGCCCAAACGGTCCCGTACACACTCCAGACTTCCAGTCTCACACGTGTCCATTTCCATAACCCCTTGGTGCCCCCGCCCTGGATCCAGAACCCCTGAATCCTGCCCATCTGGGCAGCACTGGCAGCAAGGCGGGGTGTAGGTAGCACCTACTTTGAGGCTCTTAGGCTGTTGCCGGACCTCCATGGCATGTTTCTGACGTAGCTCCTGCTCACGGCGCTTGTTGTATTCCAGCTGGTTTGAAAGCTCTGTTTGGTGCTGCAGACGGGTGAGCTCCGTGCGGGTGCGCTGGACAGTGTGCAGATGCCGGAATTCCAGCTCCTGGGTGGATTCATGCTGGCGCAGCAGCATGGCGCACTCCAAATCCTTCTGGGTCTGCTTTTTGTTTAGTTCCTGAAGGAAATAAAAAGCTAATGACATTAGAACTGAAGTTCCACAAAGACCAAGTTTCCCATAGCATCAAAGCTCTGAAAAGACATGGCATTCAGATGCTTTTGAATGGCTACACCAGTTGACCATTCCAGAAAAGAAGAGGGGAGGGGGGAAGCCAAGCTCAACAGCCTGACAATGGAGATACTCCTTATCACCTGCTGCACTGACAACAAATCTGCCTGAGCGCAAAAGAGGGAACAGGAGCAAGAATGAGAATTCTGAAAATCTCAAATGTCTTTGTTTTTAAAGCCTCGCTAGTTTCTAGCTGATGAGGAAAAGTTTTCAACAATGATTAGTGCCAGAAACTGAAGGACACAGGCTTGCAAACAGGATTCCAGTTGGTCAGGGCTAAGCGCTTGAGAGTGCCACTTTGTAGGCAGCATAAACAAAAGAAATTAAGCAAATTCAAAAAATACACTATCGTAGTTTACTGTCCACGGAACAATTTATAAATGTTTTAGAATATGGGTGTATGCATATGCAGGATCAGTATTTCCTCAGTTAAAATGGTCAATACATTATTTAGACTGTAAAACAAAGTACAAGTGCCCTACTGATTCAGTTTCGACAGAAGGGGTCAGCACTCTAAACTGTATAAGTCATGTTTCTATGTCAATCTCGCCAAGCACTCTGGGATGCTTAGCTCCTTACTGACCTCTGAGGCAGGCATGAGGGTTACAGATACAGAAGCAAGGTAGCACCCAATTTATCCCATTCAACAAACCTACTCTCTTAGGATGTAAGGCAAAGTTGGCTCACAGGCTCCATACAGCCCCCAAAGGGGACTCCTGCTTTAAGACTGTTCTCCTGCAGCTCTGGCTTTTCAACCACAATCCAATACTGTTCCCCCCCCCCCGCCCCATCCCATCCCCACTCAGGTTCTTGGGTCTCACCTCCCGCAGCAGGTCCTGGTCCAAGTTGTGGCGTGCCAGCAGCATCTTGCGCTTGTACTGGCGGCACTGCAGCTCAAAGTACTGTCGCTGGCGGCGCAGAAGGTTCGCTTCTTCCTCAGCCTGGTAATGCTGCATGTTTTCTTTCTGCCTCAGCAGCCATTCCTGCTTCTCCCGCTTGGGTGTGCTCTGGTTCTCCTGCAGCTCCTAAGAGAGGGATCAGAATATGATGGGCAACTGGACAGCAGGAAGTATGCAGACAGTTCCTCCTAAACTCATGGAGCACAATATGTAAGGACTGGGTCCCAGCTGATAGCTAGATCCATAAAATGAGAGAACAACTAGTGAAGGGTCCCCACAAAAGGACTGCAATTAAGGACTGTTGCCAAATGTTCCTTGTTTTAGCACGTGCTCACTGCTCTTGACCTTGCTGAGTAAGAAATCTTGAAAGAGTGCAGGCACTGTTGGGCGCTAAGCCCTTTTTGAATGTGATCTATAATGTGTCCCTACATAAAGAGAGAATGGCCACTTATCTATTTCCAGGGAAGGAACTCTATGGCATTAGCAACACATACACAGGAATCAGTGAAAATCTGCAAGGCATTATATGACTCAATGTGGAAGAATGCTGGGGCACTCTCAGAAAAAAATTTCCTCCCTTTTCAATTACAGTGGGGTCTTGACTTGAGAACTTAATCCGTATTGGAAGGCGGTTCTCAAGTCAAAATGTTCTCAAGTCAAATCTGCATTTCCCATAGGAATGCATTGAAAACCATTTGATCCGTATCTGCTCTTTTCCGTCCATAGAAACTAATGGGAAGCTGCTATTCTGTCTACGACCACTAGAGGGGGATATTTTGTTTCTTTTTTTCTTAGGTCAAGAAAGGTTCAGGGAAGGCAGGGAAAATACAGTCCAGGCAGTACCAGGCAGTCTAAAGACTCCCAATCCACTCTCTAAACACTGGGAGGCGTGAGGAAGCAGACAGGCACCCTTTTCACTGGCCAACAGTTAACTGAAAGTTCAAATTTTGCACTTTCCCTGCCTCCCATGTGGTTTTTTTTAGTTCTTAACTCAAATCTAAGTATGTAAGTCAAGTCAATATTTTCCTATGAGAGTGGTTCTTAAGTCAAAATGTTCTTAACTCAAGGCGTTCTTAAGTCAAGACCCCACTGTAGTTTCTTCATTCCCCTAAAGACTGCTGCAGATATTACACCTGCTCTTTAATAAGTTGCTTTAGGGACTCTATCTTAAGTAACTGAAAAGGACAGAGCGCAACAGGATGAGAAGGGTCATGAATTAGCAATGCTATCCCCACAGGAAATCAACCTTGAGTGCTCACTGGAAGGACAGATCCTGAAGCTGAGGCTCCAATATTTTGGCCATCATGAGAAGAGAAGACTCCCTGGAAAAGACCCTGATGTTGGGAAAGTTTGAGGGCAAGAGGAGAAGGGGACGACAGAGGACGAGATGGATGGACGATGTCATCGAAGCTACCAACATGAGTTTGACCCAACTCTGGGAGGCAGTGGAAGACAGGAGGGCCTGGCGTGCTCTGGTCCTTGGGGTCACGAAGAGTCGGACACAACTTAACGACTAAACAACAACAACAAATCCCCACTGGAAGTGGCAAGCACATCCCTCAACTACACTGAGAGGAAGGAGTGGCATAGAAGACATTTGGATAGACGAAGCTGAACAAAAGGTGGGTGGAGGGCTTCTGTGGGACAGTAAAGGGAGTCCTCTATCCATGCATCCATTCCAGCTATGTTCCATTCTGCTTAAAAGCAGGTACCTCTTTGAGCTGCTCCTTGCGTAATTTATACTGCCGTTTCTGTGATTCCAGCAAGTTACCCAACTCCTTCTTCTGCTGACCCAAGATATGCTGTTGGAATTTCTTCTCCTCAGCCAGGGCTGCCTTTGCCTGAACAGAGGAGACAGAAAAATCAGTCATAGAGAAACAAAATAAGAGATAGGAGACTATTTAGTTAATGCCTGGGTTCCATGTCTGTTGGAATTCTATTCAAGTGCACTAAACAGTAAAAAGAGGTTCCCAATCATTATTAGAGATGACGACTGATATGTGCAGTCAACAAATGATAGGATCTTCAAAGCCAGAATGTGGAATTGAGTGGGATTCACAATGACTGTAGACATCAACACAACTCCTGGTTCATCTCCTATGACTAGCAGAATGATGCAAAGTTGCATGATTTATACAAGAAACAATCCACCTTTCACTGTGTGTATGCACATATTCAAGGAGTGGGGCAGATCTGTGCCCCAAATATAAACTGGCTGCTCCAAGCACAGGTTTCCTCTGAAATCAGGAAAACATGGACTCCAGCCACTCTGAACCACAGTTATCTTGAGCGCACTGAGATACCAAGAATCAGCTGCTCTAGCTGGATGGAATAAAATCACAGTGTCACTGGGAAAAAAGGCAGTTCCCACCCATCAGGCTGAACCATCTGGAGCAATCCAGTATGAACTGGACACTATCCGTCCATCCGTCCGTCCGTCCGTCCGTCCGTCCATCTATCTAATTTATATGCCGCCCACACTACCCAAAGGTCTCTGCACTAGAAGGGGGGGCGGGCAAGAAAAGGCTCATTCACTCTTTGCAGAATAGTTCCTTACTTATCCCACCAACCCATCACTGTTTAACGGTAGTTTCACAACTGAGAAAACCAGAGTCTGGAAAAGTTTTCATTTTGGACCACAATTTCCATAATAATGTCCCCGCCAGCATCGTCAGTGGCCATGCTGTCTAAGAAATTTGAGGAGCTGCAAATGTTTCTAAGCTCTGGAAACAATCTTCCCGTTGAAGCTCTTCCTTTGCCAGGCTGAGACCTCTCCACTCTTGTTCTGTAGTTTATCTCTCTGGATTCCAACCTTACTTATCCCCACCTACACTGGCTTTGGCAAGGGGTCACCTTTCCCTGCATAAGTCCTCCCTATTCACCTCCTTCTCAAAGATAGCTTGGTGCTTCTTGGCCAGTTTCTCTGCCTCGGCGGAGAAGTTGTTGCGGTGAGCTTCCAGCTCCTTGTCAAGGCGCAGTTGGTGCTCATCCAGCTCTGCTCGGAGTTTGTTCTCCAGAGCCAGTAGCTGCTTCTGGTGCTGGCGTCGCATCCGTTTGTAGCCACTCATCTGGTCCCGCAGGGCTGAATCCTGCTCATGCTCCTGGATCTGGCGAGTCACCTGTGAACAGGACAGAAAAAAGAAAACCTCAACTTCATTCTGAACGATGCCTTCAACCTGCATGTTTACCACTGAAAATCCTGACAGTAAAAGCTGCTTTGTCATTGGAATGGACGAGACAGTGTTGGTTTTTAATTTACTGGAGATTTTTTGAAAAGAGACTGGATAGCCATCCATCAAAGGCTTTAACTGTGGATTTCTTAGTTTCTTAGAAGGTTGGACTCAACAGCCCTTCGGGTCCCTTTCATCTCTATGACTCCACTGATCAGATTTGCGTTGTATTGGAAACTGTATGCAAGGCCACCATTAAAGTACAAGGAATTTTTAAATGATCCGGATAACTCTTATAAATTTCTCCCTTTCCCAAGGCTTTTTAAAGACTCAACCTCAAAGCTTGCAGGATTGTATCTGGCTAAAATAGCCACCAAATTGGATCTGTACCTTTTGAATGGACCCTTTCCGGAGGATCATCCGGCGGAGTTCACCTATATGACAGGCCAAGGATCTAGTACTATTGATTATATGCTAGTTTGTGCCTCTCTAATCCCACTCATAACCAGCTTCCAGGTGTTACCTTACTTAGAGGGTGACCATTTCCCCCTACTGCTTCAGGCTAAATTCTTATTTACAACCCAAATTATGACTGATCAGCCCTCTTATGAAAGCTTGCAAGTATTAAGTCATAGAGAGAGATGGTCCGCACAAATTCAATCCAGGTTTAGAGAAATAATAGAGGTCAAAGATCACGGTATTCATAAATTTGAAGAGCGGGATCACAATATACAGTTTGACCCCATTAAGATCTATAATAGCTTAATACATGTATTAAAAATAAATTTAACTGAACCTAAAGACCACCCATTCACATCCTTTAGGAAGTCCAAACCCTGGTTTGATAAAGATTGTCAAGGAGCAAGAAAAGCCCTTACAGACATCTATTACCTGTTTTAAAAAATCAAACAACAAAGACAGGAAATGCAACAGAAGCTTGGATTCAAAAAGCAGCATACAAATATCTAATTTATCAAAAGAAAAAAGAATACACTCATTCCCTATGGGCAGAAATAATTTTAGCTGCAAAATAGAAAAACTCTTCCAAGTTCTGGCGATTGGTTAGGGACAAGAGACAAAATCTCCACTGCAAAATTAACCCTCCAATTTCCCATTGTAAATGGGTTGCCTATTTTAATAAACTTTATAAAGACCTTCCACCAACACCAGTTCCAGCTGGTGAATTCAAAGATCTACCGGTCTGGCCTCCAGTTTCCCAGGAGGAAGTTAAATCCCATATTGCCCGACTGAAAATAGGCAAAGCACTCCAGAACTTTTCAAAGAAAATATTGACTGGTGGGCACCTTTTTTAGCAGCATTATTCACCTATATCGACTCTACAGGCCTCTTTCCTGTAGAATGGAATACAGCAATAGTAGTACCTTTATTAAAAAAAGGACTAAGAGATGAGCCGGCAAACTATCGCCCTATTAGTCTTTTAAATATATGCAGCAAACTATATGCTAGGCATCTGCAGGACAAATTTGAGACCTGGTTGATCGAAGAAAATAGGATTGCTGTAGAGCAAGCCGGTTTTAGAGAGTGTAGATCCACTATGGACCAATGTCTTATTATTCAACATCTTATAGAGAAATATGCGGCAAAAGGCCCAACCTCATTATATGCTGCATTTGTCGATCTGAAAATGGCTTTTGATTCAATCTCGAGACAGCAACTATGGGCCAATTTAGAAGCCACCTCAATAGATAAATGATTACTTGTATTGTTGCGTGTGCTACACAATACAGTGGGGTCTTGACTTGAGAACTTAATCCGTATTGGAAGGCAGTTCTCAAGTCAAAAAGTCTGTAAGTCAAGTCTCCATTGACCTACAGTGCATTGAAAACCGATTAATCCCGTAACAGGCCGTTTTTGTTCCATTTTGGTTTTTTTCTGGTCTGTAAGTCAAATCTCAGTCTGCAAGTCAAACCTAAATTTTGCGGCCAGAGAAGTCTGTAACTCAAAAAGTCTGTAAGTCAAGCCATCTGTAAGTCAAGGGTCCACTGTATG